AATTAAATTCAGTTTATTTATACAGCACCAAATCACAGCAAAGTTGTCTCAGGGAACTTTACAGGAACATTCTCATACATAGAAAAGCCAATCAGTAAAGTTCTACTCTGCACCGCCATAAACAAAACTTTATTCTTGCACACAGTGTAACTCCTACACACTTCTATATATTTCACCCAAAAACATTGAGGTTCACTTGCATTCCCTGTTCAATTCCAGTCCAGAAAAACACTCACTAAAAAAACACAAACATTCACTAATGGGGGGGGGGGGGGGGGGGGTCGTCATTCTGCTTGTTTCCTTGGTGTTTGTGGCACCGAGTGAAGCCTTGTTTTGTGTCTGAGGTGGATTCTCATTCATTTTCAGTTATTTTTCCCTCCAGTTTTTTTTTTTTTTACATAATTTTTGGAGAGCCTCAAAAATGGTAACACATTTGACTGTACCTGTAAATGTGCTGTCCTGTTTTCGCTTGTATCTGCTCATCTTCTTTTTATTCATGTTGTGTGTTTCTGTGTGTATGTGTGTGCGTTCCTCTCAGTCTCTGCAGAGAACCTGGAAAAGAGCCTCAGGCAGATGGAGAGGCAGCTGCTGCAGCTCGAGAAAGACCTGGAGACTTTCTCCTCCCCCGATGACCCCCGTGACATGTTTTTCACCAAAATGGTCATATCCTTTTCACATTTATGCATTTGCTCCCTGCTCTGGGGTTGTATATTGTGAGTTAACTGTAAATGAACAAAGATATTAATGTAACACATTTTTTGCATCTATCACCTACAAACTTGTCATTCTCTCCATTAATTGAATTAGTTTGTATTCCCCTTATTCTTTACTTAAATTGCTGCACTAACATGTTGTAGAACCTGTGAAGTGTTCTTCTGGTATTGGGCTCAGTTCCATTTAGTTTTTATAAAGCTTTTAGCTTTGGTGCCCATACATTTCCCTCAAAATTATAGTTCAGACATCATTCCCAAAACATTACCCATGAGTTATGCATGTTTCAGAAACCAGTGAGAGAGCAAACATATTGGAAATGTGGATCATTTTAAATATTGTTTTTTGAAGCCGTCAGATTGGAGTGGAGCCTCACTTTTTCACGCCGCCCAAGAAAACTTTAAAGCTTTCAGTAAAAAAAACTTTACACCTAAATAATCCTCCAAAACAACAGTTTTAATGTTTGTTCGATAGACTGATGAGAAACTAACAGACCGACAGTTTTTCTGAAAAGTTTCTGCACTGAGAGTTACCTGTCAAGGTGCTTCAGATGATTAGGCATTGTGAGGGGTGTTTTTTTTATTTTTTTATTATTATTTTAGCATTGTCTAACACACCTGGGATACAAGAACACACTCTGCTTTGAAAAAAAAAACAACTTTGCTGGGACTAAAAATCTTCTTATTTCTGTCATAAAAATCAAATTTGATGAGTGCAAAAGTGTGTTCTTACAGAACATTTCTGATTAACGACAATAAATCAAGATTTTACATCCAGATATCCAGTTTTTATGCAGAATGCAAGTTCACTACATGAGACTCCGCAGTGTAATTAATACGTGTTTGTAGGTGATATTAGGCCATTTTCTCAAGTAATCTTCCCAGTAACTGATGACTGATAGATGAACAACATTAACCCCAACTGATCGTTACAGTCTGCCAAATGTGTAGAATTTAGTAAATTTTTATACGCCCGTCGAAGACGGATGTTTTATGGTATAGTCTGTGGATGGGTTAAATGCAGAGACTAATTTTGCCATTGTATGGAAACATACAGTGCTGACATTGTGATGACATTATTATTATTATTATTATATGTACTTAAACTCTCTCTCATCCCGCCCATAACTTCTGATCTGCTCAAGAAAATTTTAAGAAACTTCAGACACATATAGGTCACAAATCAAAGTCAAAAGTTAAACAATGTTTTTGCTTGTCCAGGGCATTCCTATAGATTACTGTATTGCTGTATAATGGTTTGTTGACAGGAATAAAATGTGACATAGAGTACTCTTGTTTTCTAATCAATTAATATCACCAGTGCATAACCCAAAATGCTCCTCTAAAGACGGAGCAAAGTGGACAGAGAAACATAAGGTAGACTGAGGAAAAATAAATCTAATTCCATCCTCATAAATTAAAGCTTGCTAAAAAGATACTGGAACAGAAGTGTTAAAACAGAGAAAATGGAGGAATAAAATGTGTAGCCTCTCCCAGCCTTGGCCACCCTTGGTTTCCAGTTGCCTCTCGGTGCTGTGCACAAGTAATAAGTGGACCCTGTCCTATAGTCAGCCCACCGTGCCAGCCTCCCTCAGCTCTTTTTTAAGTTCTTAAGACCGAAGGCAACTTCAAAATGAAAGGAAAGGCTAGAGTAGTTTCAAAGCTTGCTCTTTTCTTTCTCTGTCAGTGACAGTCAACAGGGTTTATCCCTGAAGAGCAATTCCACTTATTGAATTGCCGTTTAATTATGACATAGCTAAAGCATTAAAGCACGGCCCCAGCACCGTGCAATTTCACTGCCCATTTGGGGTATATATAGGTCTGTTGCTGAGAGCTGTGTTTGACAGCAGAGTAAATTATTCAGCGTCTTCTGAGTTTGTTCTACAGGATCAGGTTGACAGGTATATCTCAGGCCAGGTGTGTTCAATAATACACTCTGTTCCTTGCCCTCCTCCTTCATGTAGTTTTGATCAGTAGCCTAGGGGCTGGGGCACTGATGACTTGTGCTGAGGCAGTTTGTAGAGAACTTCAGAGCAACACAGAAAATATATTTGATTGATGTGTCTGTCATTGCCATGCACATCAATGCTTAGTTCCCTGGATAAAATGTCCAGAGACTGAAAACTGATTTCATTTTAAAATGTAACATGTAATAATATAACGCAAAGAAGATAGAAACCGTTTAAGCGTATCACCAGGTGTCATGTTGTGCTCCATCTATTGGCACCTGCTTGTGTTCAGGTTTTAGGTTTCTGCACTTTGAAATCGACTGACTTTCAGCAAAGGTTTATTAGCAGCTCCTGCTAAAAATGTTGAGCTAATGCAGTTTTTATTATCACCCTTACCAATAGTCCCAATCCTCTTTACAGTCAGTACAGGAGTCTGTTGTTATTAATTGCATAGCTTTTTTATTGTTTGAGAAATTCATATTAGCGTTTCACTGTTATTAAATGTTGGAAATTAATTCCTTAGAATTTAAATCATTGCAACTGGACTTTTTTCTGTAGTTGAAGATGTTTTGCTTCTCATTTGGGAAGACTCTTCATTTTAATTTTCCCCTTACTACCGAGGGTCGTTGGGGTCTTTGTCAGCTGGATTCTCATGAGATAAATTGGTATGAAACTGACTGGAGATAAACTCCACACAGTAACTCCACTATTTTTCCCCAAACCAGCATTTTTTCCCCCTCATAAACCTGTTATTGATTCTAGAAAGATTTTCCATAAATAATAAGGTTTTCTGTTCTGCTCTATTCAAGGCATTTTATTGTTCATCAGCTGTGTCTGTTTGTTGAGGTTTTACAGTATATAAAGGTGATGCTGTATTTGAGAAGTTGGTGCCTTCAACATTAACACAAACATGAACTCTATGATAGTTGTTATGTATGTCACATTTGTTTAGATTTGAGGCAAATCTATAGTATTATTGTTTTTAAATGTAAGAACGTAACGGTAGTGTTTCAAAATGTTTTTCCTCTTTAACCCAGTTTTGAAAAATACAATTCTGGGGCGTCCACCGTGTGGATACCTGGCTCAAAATATATAAACCTTTTGTGCATTTCAGTGGTGGGCATGGTTCCGCTAATTCACCAGTAGTGGAACTAACTTCCCCTTTAGCAGATTAGCATATTCGCTAACTTTGAAAACCTTTAGCGGACTTGCCTTCCACTAAATTTAAATATGGCAAATTCAAGTCCGTTAATTTATTTTATTTTATTTTTATTACAGTTCTCCCCATTAAAACTATACAGCAATTTACACAAAGCAATGCTATGCAGAAACTAAGCGCCACCTGGTGACATCACGACCCTCACGGTGCTTTCCCCCCATATATACCGTAATCAGTCTCTGACTCCTGGTGTCGGTTTACAGCCAATAGTAGAGACTTTTTAACATAAATGTCAAACCAAAGCAAAACAGGAAAATAACACGAAAACCCCATTTTCACAACAGTCAGAAACATTGCACACATCATTTCTGCCCACCATGCTTTGCAATGATAATGCCATCTCTGGGATGTGACACTCGCACACATTTCACACAACTTTACCTTAACACAAACATAATTATTTTGGGGATAATATAGATGACAACACACAGCAACTTTGTAGTTAATTTATAAAAGTAGTTAACCACAAAGTGGATCGCCAACGTGAGTTTATTCATTATAGTAAATGACGCACGGGAGCTGTCCGACACACACTGAATGCATCACTCTGCTTCAGCACAGCAGTTCTGCTCCCCCGATTGGTTCTGATGGACCGGATTCATTTCTGAAAGCTCACCTCTGAACAGGACATGGATGCTTTTCGTGTAATCTATGAATCATTTAAAGTTGTGTTCACTTACAACGTTATCACATTACAGACATTCTTACAATGTTTTTACTTTAGCATTAGCTTTCTCTTTTTTAAAATGTTATATCTGTTAAGTGGTTTTAGCGCTAGCAAATCTAACTTTTAAGTTAGCTGTGCCCACCACTGGTGTATTCACAATATGTCATTCCCATGTGGAAAGGTCTTATAACTGGGAGATAAGTGGCCTTATAAACAAAACAACAACAAAACATTGGAATATACTTTATAATTGCTTAAAATTAAAACAACTGGACTCCTTTTTTAAATTTGAAGACATTTATGTAGTTATAACTGTTGAAGATCTTCCTCCTGTAAACAGGGGTGCAGGACCAACTTCAGCTACAGAACCAATGTCAGTTTACTTTGATTTCAGACTCCTAGAAATTAAAATCTACAAAACATTAGAAACTCATGTTTGTATAATGGAGTCATTTACAGATGTTGTATGGAATAATTCTGATAATTTGTGAAGTTCTTGTTGATTCACAGTCTAAGACATTGGTATTTCTATTTTTTCCTCCTGCAAAATATTGCTTTATTATTGTGGATGCTTCTTGACAAAAATTATAGTCACATTATGATTTTATAGATAGCAGAAGAACCTGCAGCTGATGTAGTTTGGCTGCAATAGTCGTAATTTTTATAGGCGAAATCTAACCTTGCCAGCCACGCATGAGAAGCTAGAAATATCACATTGGTGAAAATTTCATTTTCACTTTGTTCGCCACTTGAGTATACAGTTATTGGTCTATGGTGTTGCACTTCTGAATCCGAGCCCAGGCTTGTAAAGGTGGCAGATCAGAACATGAGAGAAGCAGGAGGAGGATGGACAAATGAAGAATTGGAGACTGAAGTATGATGGAACAGGCGGGTGGGTGGGAGGTAATGGGGAAGAGCTTGAGAGGAAAAGAGGTTTTGAGATTGAGCTGCGGTGAACTAGAATAGGGAAGCAGTCATAAGATAGGGAACAAAAAGGGGGAAATATATTGCACTCCACAACTCTTGGCTATTTTTCCCACCCACTATGACCTCCTTAATGCTTCTTTCCCCGACATTCTGGCTTGGAAACAAATTACTGACAAGTCAGTCTGGGAGGAGTGCCTATTGAACAGCATTTATCCAGCTGTGAATAGGTAGTCTCATCCTCAGCCAGATTCAACTGAGGCCAAATCTCAAATAGGTCCATCAATTGAGCTATAATGAAGGAGCACAATAAGAGCCAGGATGCTGCCCACACTCTTGTATGATACTGCACACAGACACACACACACACACACACACACACACACACACACACACACACACA